GGCGGCGGTGACAGTACGCTGATAAATATTGAAGGGTCTGGCCAATTTTCATCGCTGAAGGTGCTGAACAACTCTGCCGTGGTGATCCGAGGCAACGTTGTGACGAGGCCGGTGAGGTACCTTTTGTTAGTAATTTTGGCGTTACGTGTGGAGTCTCGGTCAGCGGTTGTGTTTCAGGGCAACGACATGCAGAGAAGCTCGGCTGTATTTTTTTCAAGCTACTCTTCCTACATCTACTACAACTCCTGGCTGCAGCTGAGCGGCAACCTCTGCCGTGAGTCCCCATCGGATGCCTTCCTCTTTTTGAACCCCACGGTGAATCTCCGCGACTCCACGGTGTCTGTGTCCGGCAACCGATTCATGTCCAGCACGGGCACGCCGACAGTTCTGCGGATATCCACGGTGCCTCGCGATCTCACAAACGGAGCGATTGTGGCCGCGTGCAACACCGTGAACAGCGAGGAGGGAGTGAAATACAGCATTTCCTCCGTGTGCAATGCCACCATCCTGACCTGCGGCGACCCATGCACCCTCGCGGCGTCATGCTTCCCTGCGTACACGACGACGGCCTCGAGTGATGGCTGCGCCTGCAAGTGTGCTGAGGGCGGCCATGGCGATGCATGCCTGCCCGTTGCTGTCCCCGAGCCACCGAGCACTGACGGCGCCGACTTGTGTGTGCGGGACGTGCGTGTGGGTGTGAAGCTGAGTGCCGGTTTCGGGACGTCGGTGTTGTGCTACGTTGGCGTGACCTTTGCGGCGGACGTCTTGGTGGACGTGGAGTCGATGTCGGGGAGCGTGCGCAACGTGACACTGGCGAACTGCCTGTTTGTGGACGGAGCGAGCCTGTACGTTGTTGGGTGGCGGTCCGACCCGCCTGCTGGACAGCGTGCCGATGTGTTGATCAGCGGGCTTGAGTCGCGCTCCGGCGGCGGCGTGCTGGTGGCGAACCGATTTCCGCCGGGCTCGCGCGTCACTGTGGTGGACTCGGTACTGATTGCGGAGAAGCGTGTTGCGTACCGCGGAGACCACGGCCTTGGCGACGCCTCCGCGTGCCTCGTGGTGCACAGCGTGAATCTGACTGGGAGCGTGCTGACCATTGCGCGCACGCATGTGGCGGCTGTGTTCCGCGACGCTGTTGGCGTGTTGTTTGTTGGCGGCGTGGCGCTGTCGTCGCGCGGTGCGCTGTACGTGGACGGGCTGTCGGTGCAGACGGCGCTGGGGCTGTGCGTGTCGGTGGAGGGCGGTGTTGCGGCCAGTGGCGGCTCCGTGGTGGCGTTTGTTGACAGCGACTTCCTGCTGTGCAAGCACGCGGTGTCTGTGCGTGGGGCTGTGAGCGTGTCGGGCTCCGCTGTGGCGCTTGTGCGGAACGAATTTTTGTCGACGGGGGACTACGCGGTGGCGTTTTATTCGACGGTGAGCCTGGCTGGCGGGTCGATGCTGCTGGCGAAGGGCAACGTGCACGACGGCGTCTCGAGGGAGATGCTCTACACCGCTGGCGCCGTGACCGCTGCTGGGAGCACGCTGAGCTTTGTGCGCAACCGAGCGCTGCTGCCGCGGATGCTGTCGCTGAGCCTGTCGCTTGCGGCTGGGGCGCATGTGAGGGTGGCGTGCAACGACGCTGGTGGACGTGTCCTGTCGACGGCGGAGGAGTACGCAGCGGCTGGTTTTGGCGACGCTGGGAGCATCGACGTTGCTGGGTGCGACGACTGCGACAGGGACACGCACTGCTACGCGCCCGGGACGGCGTCGGCGAGAATGAGGAACGGTGTGTGCGCGTGCGCGTGCGGCAGCGGCGTGTACGGCGAGGCGTGCGTGCCTGTGGGAGCTCCCGCGCTGCCGCCTGCTGTGGGCACTGCGCCGAGTGTGTTCTTCCGCGAGGGCGTGACGGTGCAGTCGGCGTTCGTTGTGCCTGTCGGCGCGAGCGAGGTGACGCTGCGCCACGTTGTGCTGGACGGCGTGAGCCCGGTGCTCTACGTGCCGTGGATGGCGCGGGACGGCGTGCGGATCGTTGTGCAGAACGTGTCGCTGCTGAACGGTGCTGTGCTGTACGTGATGGGCGGTGGAGCGTTGCGCGGTGCGGTGTCGGCGGGGAGCGACGAGGGCGGGCCGGTGGAGCTGTCCGTGTGCGATGTGGAGGCGCTGAACGGTGCGCTTGTGCTGACCGGCACGTTCCCCGCGGGGTCTGTGCTGACGGTGACGGACTCCCTGCTGGTTGCCGCGAGGTCGACGCCGCTTGTGTATCTTCCCGGCTCGCAGTCCTCGCCGTACGCACCGGTGCTGGTGCTGTCGGGCCTGCGGCTCGTGCGGTCCGTGCTGGTTGTGTCCGGCGTTGCCCTCGTGACCGTGATGACTGGTGGGCGGACGGTGGTGGTGGACGGCGCCGTGCTGGAGCTTGTCGGTGGCGGTGTCGCGCTGGACGCGGCTGTGTTCGGCGGCGAATATGCGTTGTACGCGAGTGCGCGCGTGGTTGCGTCGGAGGGCGCTGTGCTGCGCGTGTCGGGGAGCCAGGTGTACGCCGCGCATGGGTTTGTGTTCGAGAGCGGTGTGGAGGCCAACGCGTCCGCCGTCGTGGTGAACGACAACACCGGTGCGCTGACCGATGGCGCGCTGCTGGAGCTGCGGGGGTCGGCGTCGTTCGTGTCCGGGTCGTGGCTGTCGGTGCGCGGCAACAGCATCAGCGGCAGAATTCTGTCGGTGCCGTCGTACCCGCGCAGTGCGGAGCTTGTGCAGAGCACGCTGACGCTCCACGGGAACGCTGGCAGCGGGCCCGTCGTGATGGACGGCACCGTAGCTCTTGGGGGCGCCGGCCGAAAGTTCGTCGTGGGGTGCCTGACGCTCAACGGGCAGGCGCTGCGGCCGATGGACTACAGGTCCGCCGGCATCATCGGGGAATTCCGCCCCGTGGCGTGTGGCGTGTGCGACGCCGACGTGCGCTGCTTTGCTGCTGCGACGAGGGCGATGTCGAGGTCGTGCGGCTGCCGCTGTGCTGAGGGCGGGTACGGGCGCGACTGCCTTCCGGTGTACCTGCCGCACGTGGACGGGTGCAACCGCACGTCTGGCATGCCGCTGGGCCACACAGCGTCGCTGACGGAGACGCGCAGCCTGACAACAACGTGGACGGCGACGCCGACGCCGAGCCACACCACCGAGCGCTACAGTCCGCTGCGGTACGGGCCGACGGAGACCCTGCAGGTGACGGAGACGGTGGCACTGCCGCCCACGCGGACCCCGACGGCGTCGGTGAGCGGCACGCTGTGGTGGAGCGAGGTGGCGTGCCCGACGCTCGCCGTGACGACGACGGTGGCTGGTGGGAGCCTGACGCAGAACGACATCCGCGGCGGTGGGAGCGCCGTCCCGACGCGGCTGATGGTGGCGCTGCCGTCGCCGTTTCGATGGGCACGCGACCCGCAGCTTGGCACGCACCTGAGCTTTGTGCCGGTGTCGACGGCGCAGCCGAGTGGGTTCGGTGGTCCGTGGGGAGCGATGCTGCGCCACGCGACGTGGGTGCGCAACGCGACGAATCCGTCCACCGTCCTGGAGCTCGCTGTGCCCGTTCACCGCGGTTACTTCATTGCTGCCGACGAGACGATAGTCATTCGCTGCGACGCTGCGGCGGTGTCTGGCGGCTGCAAGGGCGTGCTGCTTGGGTCCTTCACGATCAGGTCGAACACGCTGCCCGCCGCTGCCAGCGCCCTCTCGGCGATCACCGGCGTTGCTGCGGGTGCGGCGGCTGTTGCCGTGGTGGTGACCGGCGGGCTGGGCTCCATCCTGGAAATTCAGGGGCTCGGCGTGTTTGCGAGGATGTCATGCGCCTCGGCACAGGAGCGTGCGAGCACCGTTGCGCTGCCGTACTTCCTGTCGGTGTTCGCTGCCCTTGACCCGCTGTGGATGGTGGTGGGCAACGCGCTGCTCGCCGCTGTGTTCGGGTGCGTGCACTGCGGTGTGACGGCGGCCTTCCAGCGGTGGCGCGGCGTGGACGCGGCGAGTGCGTGGGCGGCGATGCGCTTCCCGAGCCTGACGTACGTTGTGGCGCACGCGATGCACCTCGGTGTCTTCTTCGGCTCGGTGCGTGCACTGGCGATGCCCGGCGCCCGCGGGCAGCACCGCGTGGTTGGTGTCGTTGGCGTGCTGTACGGTGCGGCGTTCCCTGCCGGCGTGTGCTACTTTATTGCCCGCCACGTGGGCGCGAGCTTCACGAGGTACTGGCAGTTTTCGAGGAAGCCGCTGCACGAGCGCCTGCTGTACCCCGTCGGGTATTGGCACCCCGCGGCGCAGCAGCGGATGTACGGCGGCATGCTGACGAACATGAGAGGCAGCCACGTGTACTGGTGCGTGTTCCAGCTGTCGGTGCTGTGTGTGGTGTGCCTGATTGCGGCTGTGCAGTCGCCCGTGGGAGGCTGCCACGTCCAATACTTCTGCATGGCGGCTGTGCTGCTTGCGGGCGCGGGCGTGGTTGCC